CCCCCCTATGTGAGGTCCACACACCACCTATAAAAATAACACTTTACCCCTGCTTACACCTATATGCCGTGAGCTGATTATCGAGCCTTCATTGTAACAGTCGCGGGTACACTGTGTGTGTGTGTGTGGGGATTATTGCAGTAGAACATTCCACTGTAGCGACCAGTACATTAATGGGAAACCCTAAATGTTTGAGCACCCTCTATGAAACGTCAAGCTACCCCACAGCACCCCCAAAATAGAATCTCTGGCGCCGCCACTNTTTTCAGAGTGTACCAGAATGGGTAGTTTATATGTTAGTATTTTAAAAAATCTCCTGGGGGACAATCCCCCCAGACCCCCCTTATGGGGTTAGGTTTTCTGAAAACCTAACCCCATAAGGGGGGTCTGGGGGGATTGTCCCCCAGGAGATTTTTTAAAATACTAACATATAAACTACCCATTCTGGTACACTCTGAAAATAAAATAAATAGATGTATTAGACATATTAATAATATTTTATGCCATTGTTTGTTTTTCACTTTGTTCTGACAGCTGAACTTGCTGCTCCACACAGAGAGAAGAGCAAAGAGGAGAGAGTCTGTGTGAAATAGCCTACTTTACTTTGTGGGTAAGGGTAGATAGCCCCCATTGTTCTGTGACCTGTCAATCATTAAACCGGGGGTCATATTTCATTATGTGTTCATTTTTATCTGAAGTTGTACCCATGGGTGTATAAAGAATAGTTCTACCGCAAAGTTATACTCCGTGGGGACTTCCGGCAACAATCTTGATTCTGATTGGCCAGAAGACTCGAAAAACATCAGCAAATATGTTTTATTGAGAAGATGATCACTACGTGACAGAAGTTTTCAAAACTGTTTATGGTCTCCGGTACTTTCAGTCCAACGCCTACTGCATGCACAGCGTTAGAAAATCGGGCCTTCAAAATAAAAGGTTGACTTTCTTTTTTTTCAATTTCTTTTTTTCACTCACACATCTGCGACCCACTCGAAACGGGTCCGCGACCCACTTTTGGGTCGCGACCAGTTGAGAACCACTGTTATATACCACACATCAACATATAGTTTCCGATTTGTCAAACTGCTGCTTAGCTTGAGGTATTTTCAAGTCTCCTCAGAGTCTGTAGACGCAGGCTCTACAGTACCTGTTTCCGCCTCCTCTGGGCTCTGAATATCACTCAAGCCATTTTCTATTTCTTGTCGTGTAATAGTGAGTGTCAAGGATATTAGTGGATGTATTGATTTTATGACACAGTGTGGAGAGGTGTTGCTGTGAGATTAAGGAGAGAGGAAAGAAGGTGCTGCTCATAGAACGGGAAGGAGAGTCTATTTGTGAAGATGAGGATTAATGACAATTTTTCTCCTGTAACCCACGTTTGGCGGCTGCACAGGAGTCATTTTGGGTGTCTGTAGCAAAATGGATGCAGGTAGCAAAATGAACTAGAAGACAAACAAACTGCTTCTTCACCACGGGGGCTGTGATTCTGATGAGGATTGATTGTGTGTGTGTTGCGCAGTCGCCGCCTCTGAGTGATTGCTGCTTGGTTTTCACGTGCAGCGTCTGGCTGAACACAGTTGAATGAGGTTTATTGTTTCCTCCTCTCTAGCCACTGATCCAGGATCCGGGTCTGGAATGGAGCATTGCAAAGCTCGTGGGATATATTTTACATCTTAGCCCCCTAACACTTATACTTACAACTCTGTTAGGATTAAAATAATTACAGCTCACTGGCCTGTTGATTAAAGTGTGTGTGTGTGTGTGTGTGTGTGTGTGTGTGTGTGTGTGTNAACTTAAACTAGCTTTATTAAATGTCAGGTCTTTGGCAGGAAAAACCTTTTTAATCAATGATTTTATCACTGAGCACAATCTCAATTTTATGTTTTTAACGGTAAACTTGGATAGTTTTACAGAGCCCCGCCCGTGCTACTCCCCCTGCACAAAGCACACAGCTATGCACCTGTTTAAAACGGGCTCTTCACAATATCAGATCCCTTACTAGCAAGGCCACATACGTAACATCTCCAGACTCCGCCCATCCCTTTCTCAATCAAACACTGAAGTCCTGGTCAATGCATTTTTCACGTCCCGCATCGACTACTGTAACGCCATCCTCTCAGGCATACCCACCAAGCTCATCAATAAACTACAAATCATACAGAACTCTGCAGCCCGGATCATCACCGGCACCAAGGCCTCAGAACACATCACTCCCATCCTCATCCAACTCCACTGGCTCCCTGTTCAATCCCGTATCAACTTCAAAAACCTACTGCTCACTTACAAAGCCCTACATAACCTGCCCCCCCTTCCCCCCTATCTGGCTGACCTTCTTCAAGAGTACACCCCCTCTCGCTCCCTCCGCTCCTCCTCTGCTGGTCTGCTGACCGTCCCCACCCCACGCCTCGTCACCATGGGTGCTCGGGCTTTTAGCTGCACTGCTCCCAGACTCTGGAACTCCCTCGCCCCGCACATCCGACAGCCAGACACAATCACCATATTCAAAAGCCCACCTGTTCAAATCTGCCTACTCACTGTAGTGCTACCCATTATATGTTTCATTTGTGTCCACTTGACTGTCTCCTCCATGATTTCCTGTTTGTGTTTTTATCATGTTCTGTTGCCTATTAGCGTTTTCTTTCTTTCCTTTTTTAACAAATTGTACGGTGTCCTTGGGTGTCATGAAAGGCGCCTAAAAATAAAATGTATTATTATTATTATAAAATATGTAGAACACAAGTACTCAGCCCAGAAACCTATTGAGGAAGGATCTTTAAATAAGAAATATTTGTCTAAAACATTTGTTTAAGTCACAAAACATTTTTAATACGGTAAAGACAGTAATAACACATTTAACATTAAATTAAACAATTGCATCTTATAAACCAGCATCGAATACAATTTTTGATTCATATTTCATTCACACATGTAAAAGTCATCAATAAATGTGTCTACCTAACAAAATGATGTTTTATAATAACCTCTCTCTGCCTCTCTATGTCCACCTGCAGTTTCTACAAAGGGACGGTTCCTCGGCTGGGCCGTGTGTGTCTGGACGTGGCCATAGTCTTCATCATCTATGAGGAGGTGGTGAAGGTCCTGAATGTTGTCTGGAAGACGGACTGAGCCTCTGGATGTGCAGAGAGGCCCGCGGCTCCCTACTTTCCAGGCATCAGACACAGATCCCAGTTTGGCCGACCTCCTCCGCATCACAAAGTCAGAGGGGGTGAGACAGAGAGCTGAACTGAGATGAGTGTCAAATGCTAACAGGAAGTTAAAGAGCTCATTTAGATAAGGGGCAAAGCCTGAACATACAGTAGTGCCGCCCACATCTGGACAGCTGTGTGTATGCAGTGCTTTGCTGCATTAAAACAAGACATCTTATATCAAAAGTGGGATCATAAAATGATCCAAATAATGTGGAAAAGCATATTCTAGAAAGTCATAATTTCTCCAAGTTAAACGAAATGTCAATATGAGGGTCCACATCATGATTAGCTTAAACATTTCCTGAATGAATGTAAGCTTTTTTCCAAGTTATCTGGTTACGTTTCTTTAAATCCTGCTTTTTAAAATACCCTCCTTCTGTAGAGAACTTTATTTCTCGTCATTCATAGCTGATTTACTCATTACTGTTAGTAATGCATGTGTCATACTTAGTTTTCTTAAGTCAGATGTGCTCTCTGCCTCTACTTGCCTGTTTGTGGTTCAGAGGAGCAGGACTCCAGCTGGCTGCAGTTTACAATCACATATACTGCAGTTATTTCCATAACTAGACCCTCCAGAAAAACGCGGGCAAAAATTCTTGATTATGCGGGCTAAATTCCTTGATTATGCGATTAAACATGCGGGGTTTTATGTGATTTTATTGACGGCTGTGATGTGTCGATTGATGAAAATTGCTTGATTAGGAAATATGCGGAAAAGTTGCGAAAATGTATGTAAATATGCGGTGGGGATATTAAGAATAAAATTCTTCTTTTTTAAATATTGGGTCGTCGTTTATTTTATTGTCTCTCTCTACACACCTTCACTAACGTTAAACCTCTTTACTATTCAATTAAAACACATTCAATGTTTTTATTTATTGTAAAAGCCAATTGGGCTATTTAATCTCACCACACACCCCCACACCACTTCTCCCGCCTCATTCTGTTTTCTCATTTACTCGTTCGTTATCTGACCAGCTTCCATCTGTACAGGACTACTCACTTCGTCTTCTTGTA